TGCATTTTTTATGCCAAAGTGCATAACTTTGCATTTCTCTACATTAAATTTCATCTGCCATTTTGGTGCCCAGTCCCTCTGCAGCAAAGCAATATCCTGATCACATTGTATTACTTTACAAACTTTGTCTCATCTGCAAACACTAAAACATGGCTTTTAATGCCTGTTGCAAGATTATTTATAAATATGTCAAATAAAAGTGGTCCCAAAACAGAACCCTGAGGGACACCACTTACAACTTTTGTCCAGTAAGAAAATTTACCATTAATGACGACTCGTTGTACTCTATCCTTAATGTTCTACCCAAGAACAAGAATATTAATCTAGACCAATTTCTTTTAGTTTGAACACTAACCTATTGTGAGGAAAATCCAAGTAGATCACAACCACTGCAACACCCTGATCTATACTTCCACTTACTTCTTCGTAGAATGCAATAAGTTAGTTTGACATGACCTATGTTTCATAAACCCATTCTGATTATTTCTAAAAACAAAGTTCTTCCCAATGAATTCCCAAATATTTTCCCTTAATAGCACTTCAACTACATCCCCAGCCACATAAATTAAGCTCACAGGTCTATAATTTGCAGGTAATGATTTTGAACCATTTTTAAATATAGGAACAACATCTGCCCTTCTCCAATCCTCCGGTACAATTCCTGAGAGAAAGGAATCTTGAAAGATTAAATATAGAGGTTCACTTATTTCCACACTTAGCTCCTTAAGAACTCGTGGGTGAATACCGTCAGGCCCTGGAGCTTTATTAACATTAATTTTCTTTAACTGCTGTAGCACCTTGTCTCGAGTCATCCAATCATCCAAAGTTATCTGCAAGATTTTTGCAACAATCATTTGCATATCTCTTGCCATAGGATCCTCATTTATATATAGAAGAAAAATAGTTATTTAAAATTTCTGCCTTTTCCTGGTCTTCATTAACTAATAGACCCATCTGTTTCCAGTGTACCTACACTTACATTTTCTTTAGAATTAATGCACTTGAAAAAAAATGTTATCATTCACTTGCTTTTTGCAAATGAATCATAATTTAAAGGACTTTTTGCCCACTTGGCTACTTTAAATAGCTATGGGGAGGCTTTGGGGTATACTAGATCCTCCCCATTGCTATTTAAAGTAGCCCAGCGGGCTAATAGTCCTTTAAATTATCATTAATTTACAAAAAGCAAGTGAATTAAATTTTGCGAACATTCATCCTACGAGATACGTTTGCATGCAGCCATTGATAAATCTCTGATTCCGAGGCTGTTAATTGGTTTGGATGTAGATATCACAGATTTTCTGTATGCTTCTAGACAAATTTTACAGAAACGGTTGAACTGATTGAATCCTGACCGCGTTATGCTTTAGTAAATCTGCAATTTGCCAATGCGGTCAGGATTGTGCAATTTTCATTTGATTTTCCTATTCCGACCAAATCTTGGTGAATAACTCTGACTTGCAATGAATGCGGGAGAGAATAGGCAAGCTGTGATTATATTGTAGAATTTCTCAAACCTTTTTTTGGTCTAAATTTTGCAATTCAGTTTTCAATTCACTGTGTTGTTTAGAAATAATCTGGGTACGTCAATAATAATATTTACAAATATCTCTTGCTGATTTCCCATAAATTTTGTGATGTATATATTTTTCTTTCATGTGTGTAATGCTCTGCAGGCATATCTACCTCGGCGTTCCGAGCGTCCTGCGGTTTATCTCCTACATCCCCTGTCTGTTCATCCTCTACATCCTGAGAACAGGCTCATCGCAAGACAAGCACGTGGCTTCAGAGACAAAATCCTTGGAAACAGACGTGTGAAAATTATTATTGGGTTAGGATTTATTTACTGAGAAAAAGCAGAATTCACACTGAAATATTCAGCTGAAATTGTCTTGGCAGCCAGAAGGGATGATTATTGATGGCGTGCATCAGCGGATATAAATACACAGAGCAATATTTAATAAAAATCCATTTTAAGACTCTGACTTGTCCTGAGTGTAATAGTTGGCAGTGTGTGGCCTAAAACTGGCATTTAATGAGGGGTCCTACCTGTGAGCCCCCTGTCCATTTATATTAAGAATTAAGTGAATCCCTTTCTGTCTCCAATTTATTTAATATGTTAATATAATAAGGCCAACATCTCCATTTATTTAATCTATCCATTAATCCATTTAAATCATCCAGCAATTGAATTAATTTCTACTTTTCATGATTCTAATCCATTTATATTATACATTAATCTAATTGATTTATATAATCCATTCATTTAATCTATGCGTATACTCCACACTGGAGCCATGATAAATCGTTTGGCGTAAAGGATTCTGGGACAAAATAAAATCCCAGCTGAATGTCTCAGCCCGCAGCGCTCACAGGGTTAATATGATTTCCAGAATAATTAATTTAATGTGCTGCCCTTTGTATTGGCATTGTATGACTGTTATAGAAATGACAGGGACACACAAAGCTCGCTGCTTGATATCACTATAAACAGTTATTATCCCGTCCACAGTAAAACCAGGAGTGTTTCGACCAGCAGCGCAATAAGAGAAGGAATAGCAATCTGAACTGGAGTGGTTCTCTCAGTTACAGAGGCATTCCCTGACTTTGGGGTAATTCATCTCTCATAGGTACAAGAACCCCAACAAATCTTGGGGTGACCGCCTCTTACTAAGAAAATTCAGCACTGTCTTTACCGCGATAGCGTATATGAAGACACGCAGTGCCTATTTACTGTGATTGGATGTGAAGCATAGAGAAGTGTTTGAGAATATTGAAAATAATCCTGCCTATAGAATTCTTATAAAATGCATCTTGCGCTATATTAACCTTTTCCTTTTCAAAGCAGACAATGTGATTTAAAGCTGTGTTCTGATTGGACGGTAGCACAAGGAACCCAATGAGAAAGGTCTCCTTACTCTGTCTATAGCTCTCATGTGCACTGCAGGGGTTAACCTTAACACACCCAAACAGAACAACATTTATGAAATACACATAATAAATACAGAGGGAAATAATAACAACACACACAGACTCAGATATGTGGTGGTGGAAAAGGCTGGGGTCTTTTATTTAGCAGGGGCGTACCTAGAGTATTTGGCACCCGGGGCGGGTCCTATTTTTGGCACCCACCCTTGCTCCCCCCCCCCTCAACTTTAAATATAAAAACTAAAAATGTGTTAATGTATTTAGCACTAAGCAGTGTTTGTGTTTTTGAATGTATGCATGTTTTTGTATGGAGTATATGTGAGTGAATGTAGCGGTGTGTTTGTATGTAGTGTTGGCGTTTGAATGCAAACATGCATTTGTGTGTTGTGTGGTATTTGAATGCAGTGGTATGGTTATATATAATGGTGGGGTTTGTATGTAGTGTTGACCAGGGCCGGACTGGGAAAAAAATTAGGCCCGGGCATTTTTCAATTAGAGCGGCCCCCCAAAAAGGGGGCGGGGCCAGAGAAAGTGAGCATGTTGGTTCAATGTGCAGAGCCCCGCTGAAGAGCTCTAGCATTAGAAAAAGGCCCTGTATTTGTTCTGCGCAGCGCAAGCAAATGTAATAACATGCTTGCGCTGTGTTTGCTTTTAAATTGTCTCTGGTGTCTCAGTAAGTGGGATACCAGAGGACAAAAGGGCCAGGAAAGTGTATGGTGCATGTCTTTGGCGCATGCTTGTGGAATTGCGTGTGTGTAGAGTGTGGTGTGGTATTGTGTAAATAGGTCAATTTTGTGGTGTAATATGTGTGGCTAGGGGCTGTAGAGAGTGCGTGTATAGGGGCATAGTGTTATAGGGGATGTAGCGAGTGTGTGCATACGGGCAGTAGTGTGTGTATATGTGACGTAGTATGTGTCACTTATACACACACACTACTGTGTGTAGAGAGGGTGTGTTTAGAGAATGTTGTATGTGTTTGCTTACAAGGAATGTAGTGTGTGTGTAGGTGGTGCAGTGTGTGTGTGTGTGTGTGTGTGTGTAAGAGATCTAGTGTGTAAAGGACCCAGAGTGTGTATAGAAGATTGTGTGTGTGTGTGTGTGTGTGTAGAGGATTAAGAGTGCATATAGGGTAAGGGATCTAGCGTGTATCTGGAGCGTAATGTGTGTAGTGGTGCAGTGTGAGGGGTGCTGTAGTGTGTGTGTGTGTGTGTATATATATATATATATATATATATATATATATAGCAAAAAACAGGATGCTTGGCACTCTCCTTTAAGTAATAAGAAAGAACTAATAGCCTGGGTGCTATATCCCAAACGTCAGAAATATACAAAACTGAGGATGCACTCACAGGACTTGGTTAAAGTGAAAAAAAGGGACTTTTAATTATTCCATGTGAATGGAAAATTGATTTTTCTGTACATTTCACATGGAATAATTAAAAGTCCCTTTTTTTCACTTTAACAAGTCCTGTGAGTGCATCCTCAGTTTTGATTTTTGTATGTATATATATATATATATATATATATATATATATATATATATATAAAATATATTTGGACGTATTGTATGTGTGAGGTGCGCAGCGTGTTTGTGTAAGAGGGGTGCTGTGTGTGAGGGTGTTTTTATCTGCCGTCACATTCTGGGTTTCTAATTTTATTTGTCTGTTAACTCACTGAGGGTTTTTTTTATATAATATATGTGCTGTATATGTGTGGGAGTGAGGGTGCTGTCTGTCTGAGGGTGTTGTGTGCGTCTGGGGGTGCGCTGGGGGTGCGCTGTGTGTGTCTGTGGGGGGCTGTGTCTGTGTGCTGTCTGTGGGGTGCTGTGTGTGTCTGTCTGGGGTGTGTCTGGGGGTGCTGTGTGTCTGTCGGGGCTGTGTGTGTCTGGGGGCTGTGTGTGTGTCTGGGGGCTGTGTGTGTCTGGAGGGGGGCTGTGTGTGTCTGGGGGCTGTGTGTGTGTGTCTGGGTGCTGTGTGTCTGTGGGGGTGCTGTGTGTGTCTGGGGGTGCTGTGTGTGTCTGGGGGCTGTTAGGGAAATTATTTTAAATATATATTTTTTATTTTATTAATAATTATAATATTATAATAATTAATAATTATTAATATTTTTTTTTTTAAAAGTTATGTTCCCCCCCCCCTCCCTTTTTACCTTTAGCCTGGGAGGGGGGGGAGCCGTTCTGCCTGGGAGGGGGAGCCTTGAGGGGACCATGCTGCCTTCCCTGGTGGTCCAGTGGTGAGAGTGAACTCTAACCTGCAGGTTAGAGTTCACTCTCGCGAGATCTGAGCGTTGCCGTGGTAACCGTGGCAACGCTCAGAATCCCGCGAGAGGACCGGGCGAAGCTGCTTGTTAGAGCTCCGCCGGGTCCTCTCTCCTCCCTCCATCCCTCCCTCTCCTGCCGGCGGCCGCGTGTTACAGTGCCTGTGGGCCGGTGAGGGAGATCTTTGATCTCCCCACCGGCCCACGGAGGCACACAGCGGGGCCGGCGCTCGGATAGCGCTGGCCCTGCAGGGGCCGGCCGGGGAGATCCTGTGATCTCCCCTGCCGGCCTCGGCCCCACGGCCATCGCGGCCCACCGGGCATTTGCCCGGTATGCCCGATGGCCAGTCCGGGCCTGGTGTTGACGTTGAAATGCAAGAGTGTATTTGTGTGTAGTGTTGGCGAGATTTTTATATGTCTGCACATATACACATACACGGACATACACACACACACAAACACAGTCACACACAGATACACATTGACACACATGCAGACATTGTGGTGACTCTAGGAACAATATATATGGGGGGGCACATAAGATACCACAGTCAAAACAGGAGGGGGAGGTGGAGCAGTAAAACTTCTCACTAGGGGATGGGGTAATATGCTGCCATTGGCTGTCTGATGCCAGCGTGCTGTGTTCTGCATGCTGGCATCTGACTACACATTTGCATATAATTCACATTAGCCACCCAGATTCCTTGTTGTGGGCCGGCTGACACCTCTTAATTGCAACCTTTGTTTAGCAGATAACTCCTCTATTTGCTATCCTTTGTGGGATTGCCATATTTAAGGACACCAAATAAGGTGCTATCTGCTAAATAGCACCCTCATTTGTTATCTTTAAATATGGAAATCTCACATACGGGCACCAATTCAGGGAATGATCTACTAAACAGCTAAAGGATAAAAAAAAGCCCTTTTCTTATTTTCAGTTGTTTAGTAGATAAATCCCTTATTTGTTATCTTTATGTGGGATTGCAATATTTGAGGACAGGAAATAAGGGAGCTATCTATTAACACATACGCAGAGATACACACAATCACACACATAATCACAGCTACACACAAGCACAATCACTGACCCACACACAAACATTACATACACACATTTAATAATTAAGAGGTCCACCCAGCCTCCCTACCTTGCTCTAGAAGGGCTGGAGTGGATCCTCAGTCCCTGGTGGTCAGTGGTTGCTGCTGGGATCTCTCGCACGCACGCCCTGTAATGACGCCGAGGCCGCGATGACATCATATCCTGGCTGCCGGCTCACTGCAGGGCAAAGACTGCCAGACACAGTCAGATGCACACAGTCCCTCACACACAGTTACAGGCAGACAGTCAAATACGCAGGTAATCACACAGGCAGACAGTCACACACACAATTACAGACAGTCACACATACACACAACACAGTCACAGACAGTCACACACACAATCACAGGCAGACAGTCACACACACACACCATCACAGGCAGACAGTCACACACAGTGACACACACACACACACACACACACCCAATCACACAGACAATCACAGGCAGACAGTCACACACACACACACACACAATCAGTCAGAGAGTCACACAGACAATCACAGGCAATCACAGGCAGGCAATCACACAGACAATTACACAGACAATCACAGGCAATCACACAGACAATCACAGGCAGACAATCACACAGACAATCACAGGTAGTCACACAGACAATCACAGGTAGACAATCACAGACAATCACACAGACAATCACACAGACAATCACAGTTAGAAAATCACACAGACAATCACAGGC